CTGCTTCTGTAGTTGGATAGCCATTCACAGTCAAGTGATAATGTAATAAGCAAAACCAGGACAAAGTTTGGTAATTTATAAAAAAAATATTGTAAGTACAGAAATCGTAAAATGCAAGAATCAAAGCCAATGGTATTTGTATACCACTGCAGATTCCTAGATTCCAATGCCAGAAGAAATCATTGTGATTATATATCCTGAATCCTGGGACAAGACAGGCCACAGAACTTCCCCAAAGTAATTCCTAGAGACCCTTGGTACATTTGTCCAATGGTTAATTACCCTCACCATTAAAAATGTACTTCTTATTTCCAGTCTGAATGTGTCTAGCTTCAGCTTGTAACCCTAGATCATATTACACCTTTCTCTGCTAGATTGAAGAGACCATTAGCAGAGAAAGGCATAACATGATCCAGTGGAAGTTGAAATTAGACAATGTCAGACTGGAAATTAGAGCTGATTAGGAATGTTTTCAAAGAAATGGTTTTAGTTGAAAAATGCTGATTCTTCAAAACTGAAACTGTTTGAAAAATAGTGTTCTGTTCACTGAAACAATGAATCAAAAAGCTTTTCATGAAAGAAGGTTTGAGTTTTTAAAAACATCCCATTTAAACATTTTTTGTAATGAGAAGTTTTCCATTTGTCCTAGCTCTTGTAAGGTGAGGCTGGAGGGCATCCCGTGAAAAGGTAAAGAATGGGTCCCCACCTTCTAACACAGCCCATCACCTTTTCATCTTTTTCTAAGAGCAGGAGTGTCTGGTTTTACCTCTTCTGATGATGCACATAAGGAATGCGCTGAAGCCTTCAGCCCTTTCATTTCAGTGCTATGCTAGGAAGGAGCCAATCCATGTTGGATCTGCCACTCGACTCCCCTCTCTTGCTCCATCAAGCCCCATAGACAAGGAATTGCAATGGAAAGACTTCTCACCACCAGCCCAAAAACATGGGGGAGAAAATAAGAAATTCCTCCCTGCGTCCCTCAGGGGAACACCCTGTCCAGGGTGACAGGGCTTGGAGGGGTTCCAACGCTCCAGAAGCCTGACAGAAGTGTGTGTCTTTAACTCCCCCGACCTCAAAGGGAGGTGGAGGGGAGATAACTAAAAGATATAGGGGAAAAATCGAGAAAGAGTAATGGTGTATATTTTGACAGCAGGACACCCACCCACATGATCTCAAAGGGCGTGTTGTTCCTTATATTATTAAAGACAATGACAAATTGCAAATCTTATAATGGATGACACAATATCCAGGCCTCACTCCTCCTATATGCACAGCCATGTTATGACTGATTTAAGGTGAAATTCATCCCTGGAGAGAGAGAAGGACTAGATATGTGCAGCACAAGGTAAACACCTATATCCTATTTTGAAGGGCTAGTTGGGATTTAAGTGATGAATAACCCATTCCACAGGGGAGATTTTTCACCCAATGAGAGCAGGAATAGGGCTATAGCACGGATCTTTTCAACCTTTTGTTTTCAACTCTCTCTGATGCTAAAATTCAATGAGGGAAAATATAAAATCTATGTTTCCCTTCAGAAAGCAAACCCTGAATGTGGCAGAGATCGGCTCAGACACTGCCCATACTAAACTGAGTCCAAAACAATCAGCTCTATTTCTCACCAGCTACAGACCCAGGTCATCAAAGAATTTAAAGCACCTCTTTAGTTTAGAGCACATGGAAAATCTGTTTGACTTCTTCAATGGGACTATGCCTGTGAGTAAGGTAAAGCATCTGCTTAAGTGTCTTTCACATTTGGGCTTAGAGATTGAAGGACCATGGGGCACTCCTTTCTGAAGAGACGCTGCCCCTTTCACGCCCCTTGCACCATGTGGCCTAAGGGAAAGAGAGACCGAGGCCCATTCTCACACATGGCACAGCAGTCTCCCATCAAATTTGGCTTGGCCAGATTTCATACCTTAACCTGATGGGACACAAAATGTTTTGGAGTTGTTCTCTTTTTCAACATCCTTTGGACACCAGAACTGGACACAGTACCCAGTAATGGTCTAAACAATGCTGTATATAGCAATTCAAAACAAAAACACTTTTTTTTGTCAAATCAAAAAAACTTGAAAAAAGTCAATTTGATTTAACCAAACTGCTTCAGTTGACACAAACTGATTTTTTTCTTGAGTTTTTCTTTTTGATTCAGCCATTTTTGATGGTTTTTCCCCCATTTTTTTATCAGCCAAACTTGGAAACAAAATAGCAGTTCAAATCAGAAAGTTGAAATGAAACATTTTGACTTTTTAAAATGAAATATTTTGAAATAAAACACTCAAAACAAAACATTTCAAATCTTTTGAAAATTTTCGCCCCCACTGAAACTATTGGTGGAATGCCACACAATTTTGGCAAATAGTTTCAGACTCTAAAGAATGCATTTTTGGCATATACACAAAAAATAGCAACCAGTGGAATGCATTACCTAGGGAGGTGGTGGAGTCTCCTTCCTTGGAGGATTTTAAGGCCCGGCTTGACAAATCCTTGGCTGGGAAGATTTAGTTGGGAATTGGTCCTGCTTTGAGCAGGGGGTTGGACTAGATGACCTCCTGAGGTCCCTTCCAACCCTGATATTCTATGATTCTATGATTCCTGTTGGGTAGTTTTTATTTTCCAGCAAGTGGAGACAAGTAGGGCAAGATAAAATTTTGCTCATTTTGGGTAATAATTTATAGCTATATAGTGCACTCACCTTATAAGGCAATGGGCTGTGGGTATCGAAGGCCAGGGTAGGATAAGCCTCCCCAGACCCAGGCTGTGGCCCACCCATTTTCCGCCCCGAGGCCCCACTTTCCCTCCCCCTCTACCCTTAAGCCAGCAGGGGCTCTTGGTTCCAGCTGGTACCCAGGAGAAGCCTGGAGGGGTGGGGGGGAATATAAGGCGAGGGGCCTGGGGAGGTGCTGGGAACAGTGGCTTGGAACGGCACTGGGGCGAGCCCAGTGCTGGGGCTGGCCAAGCACTTGGAGGGGCTGACTGCTCGGCCCAGCTCTTGCGGGGACCAGCCCGCCACTTGGAAGGGCCGGTTCAGTGGTCTGGGGGCGGGACGGCCTTCATATAGTGTGACCTCTCACACACCATGCATTAAAAGTCATGCTGCTTGGGGGGCATTCCTACACTGTTGGGAGCATTCTGGTACCATCAGTACTTGCCCATTCAGAACTACACCACAAAATAATTTAAGTTAAAGTGAAAATAAGTCTGATGTGATAACTTGTAATGATTGCCGACTGTTTATTTTTGGTTCCTTTGTGATTCTTAATTTTAATTACAAAACATATATTTTAAAACAATAAATTAACCTAACAGAATAATGATAATAACAACATGAAACTTATGTATGAAAAATGAAAGTGGAACAGGAAATTTAGTTAGATGCCAAAGGAGTCCTTTGAGGAAAAAAGTTTGGGAACCACTGATATAGAGCATTAAAGGCAGCTAACAATACACAGTGCTTTCTCAATTATGTTTTTCCATGTAAGCAATTGTAGTATGGGAGGGAAGGTGGAGTGTGGGTCATCGTGAATGGGAGACTTTCCATTAGAGGGCATCCATCACACAATGTATCTATGAAGATGTGTCCCATATAATGATTTGCATTGACAACCCCAATTTATACTGATGAAAAGCAAAACATTTTGAATTTGCTTTCAAGAAATCTATGGAAAGCGTAATGGACTCTACATATTATTATCTTTTTACATATTGATTTTAAATAATGAAGTGATGAAATAGCTTATCTACCTTCTTCTGGACTGATGAGTCGCCCTTCAAAAGAAAGCAAAGCAACACAGAGAAGATTAGAATGTTTAACAGCAATATCACATATGAGCACTGACAATCTACATCAGATATTTATTGCAGCACTTTCATGTTGTCCCCAGAAATATTCCTCTGCTATTATATGTTATGGAGATATGGGCCAGATCTTCAGCTGGTATAAATCGGTCCAATGACATCAAAAATGTGGGTCTAGAATGGACCTTGAGAGGTCAGCAAGTCCAATCTCCTGCACTAAGGCAGGGCTAAGTAAACTTAGACCATCACTGACAGCTGTTTGTCCAACCTGTTCTTAAAAACCTCCAGTGATGGGAACTTCACAACCTCCTTTGGAAGCCTATTCCAGAGCTTAACTAGTTTTAGAATTAGAAAGATTTTCCTAATATCTAACCTAAATCTCCCTTGCTGCAGATTAAGCCCATTACTTCTTGTTCTACCTTCACTGATCACTGAAGAACAATTGATCACCTCCTCTTTTTAGTAGCCCTTAACATATTTGAAGACTGTTATCAGATCCCCCCTCAGTCTTCTTTTCTCTAACTCTGGGTCTGGCCCAAAGCATTCAAAGTAATAAACGCTTGTTCTAAGTTTTCCAAAAGTTCTTTATCCCAGAAATGTCCCATGGTTGGATCTGGTCCCCACCTGTGGCTGGTGTAGTGTTGCATGTATGAGGTTAAGGTGACAGAAATGCAGCAGAATCTGTCCCTGAATTAATGAGAGACCTGCTGTGTCACCTCCTGTGGCCAGGTTTTCAAAAGATTTCAGCACCCAACACAACTTTTGAAAATCTGCACCCAAGTTACTCCTGTCTAGGATCAAGCATGATATCTAAGGGTACGTCTACACTGCAGTCAGGAGGTGCAAGGGCAGCATGTGTAGACATATCCAAGCTAGCTTTGATGTAACCAGCTTGCTAAAAATAGCAATGTTGCCATGGTGGGCTGCATGGGCTAGCCGCCTGAGTACAATCCCACCTGGGACCCTAGGTATGTATTAAGTAGCTCAGGTACACCTACGTAAGCTGTATTGGCTGTGCAATGGGATGTATTGTAGCCCAGAATCCCCTGTAGACTATGTACTACAAGTCCAGCCTGGGGCATTCTCCTGACATCACACCTTAGAAACAGCAGTATAGAGATGCATGGGGCTATGCTGTGCTTATGCCAGGGGATTCCTTCCTTGGCCTACTGTAACTCAACTGCAGCCATTGTATGTTGCCTTAGTAGTGCATGGGGGCCAGAATCAAGTGTCCTCACTTGCATACTGAGAGTGCACTTATCCCAGATGTCTTCAGCCTGGCCCATTTTCTGCCTGCACTGTCTATTGTTTACCTTGTTTTACTCTGTACTTCTTTGCCCCTCCCGGGATCCCAGGCATGTTCAGAGGCCATTGTCTCTTGTGTCTGTCTCTTTCTCCCTCCCTCTCTACGCTGGGACAGTTCGTGGGAGGGAGAGTGTAACTGTCTCATTGAAACTCACAGTGAAGTACCTTTCTGAATCCAGTCCCTTCCTGCTTTGCTGTTGGGACAGTGCGGCTACACACTGACCCATACTAAGGCTCATTGTAAAGTCAAAATCTAACCCTTTAGGACGAACAATGTTCTTAACATATTGAGGGAAAATGTAATTTTAATGTCTCAAAAAAAGCTGAGGGGATTTTTCCTAAAATTTCCAAAAAAGTATGGAACCGATTGGCTAATTCACTGGTTACATATTTGTCTGGGAAATTAATACTCACCACAAATAGTATTTTTTCTGCTTATCTTTTGTGTTTGTGTGTGTGTGTTTGTGTGTATTACTTGGCAAAATTTTGTTACCTTCTTCAGGATCTCGCCTTCTTTTTCCTAAAATAAAAGTCAGAGATAATATATGAAAATACCGATGGAGATGCAAATAGCAATTACTCATTACCTAAAACCCTACAGAGTTCAGTGTGTCAGTCCTGATGAAAACACTTAAGGATACTCACAGATTATGGCCCCAATCCCACATCCTTCTAGGTCGACCCTGGTGCTGTGTGGAACAAATGCCATGATCAAAGCCTATGGTTGCACCAATGTGTTTGGGATTCCTGGAACACCCAACCTCTAGCACCAACTCTTCCCTTCCATCTTCCTCCCAGAGAATGTCCAGAAGGGCTGTCACTCACCACGCTACCACCACTCAACAAAGTATTTGAGCAAAAGGATATTGCCCCAACGAGGCAGCGTTAGGTCTCAGACACTGTGGGCATGTCTACACTGAAAACTATATTAGGTCAACTTACAGCCACCACAGCAATTACTGCAGTGGTTCATGTCCACACTACCCTCCTTGGTCAATGGTGCACGTCCTCACCATGAGCTCTTCCACTGATCTCAGAGGAACTGTGTCGGGAGCTGAGAGCCAGGGTTCTTAGCTCAGTTTGCAGCTCTCTGCTGGGAGCCCAGCTACCCTAGGGTTCCTGCCAGCTGCCCCCTCCCAGCTCTCCATCCTGCTGTGAGCCCTGTAGCTTCCCCTCCCCCCCACACACACTCTTGGTTTCACAAACCCTGCTGGAAGCACAGCCAACGCCTGGGCACTTGGCTGCACACTGCCCACCAGGAGAACACCTGCCTCCTGGCTTCCCACCAGCTGCCCCCCCCCCCTCCCCGCTCTCAGTTCCATGCTCCCAACTGGGAGCTTGGCTGCCCCCCATCCCTGCTGCACTCCCCGCCGGGAACATGGCAGACCCCCTGCTCTTGGCTCCATGGTCCCCAGCGGGATTGGGGCAGTTGCCTGGACTCTCACCTCCCCAATCCCTACTGTGAATGAGAGAACCAGTGGGGAGTAGGGAGCTGGAAGTCTCGGTGCAGCTGGGCTCCCCAGCATGGAGTGGGGAGATGGGACCCCTGGAGCAGCCCAGCTCCGAGTGGGAAGAGAAGAGCCTGGGCAGCAGCCCGGCTGGGAGCATGGAATGGGGAGCATAGGGGGCAGCCAAATTGGAACAGGGAGAGGGGAGCCTGGGCATCGGGCAGTAGCCCAGCTGGGAGCAGGAGGATTTTCTTGTCAATGTTATGGAATTGTGAAATTGCAAAATTGGCAGCCAAAAGCCAATGTAAGTAATGCACTGTCTACATGGACATTGCATCACCCTAACTAAATTGACATAAGCCCTACGCCTCTCTTGCAGGTGGACTTATTATGTCTGTGTAATACGGCACTTACACCAGCAGAGCAAGGCTGGAGTGTGTACACTGACATAGTTAGCTCAACATAAGCTGCTTTACATCAACCTAACTGTATAGTGTAGACTAGGGCTAAGATGGAGATGGCTTTGGACCTTACATTATTGTTAGAGTCAGAAGAAACCTTGCCCTAGCCCTTCCCCAAAGCATAGGGCTTACCAGGGGAAATTCCACCAAATATCTGCCAAAATTCCTTCTGGTCTTGGAGCACCCTATTTACTGGGTGTGGGGAGATGTTTTCATAGAAGCATAGAATCAGAGAAGATTAGGTTTGGAAGAGACCTCAGGAGGTCTTCTAGTCCAACCCTCTGCTCAAAGCAGGACCAACACCCACTAAATCATCCCAGCCAGGGCTTTGTCAAGCTGGGCCTTAAAAACCTCTAAGGAAGGAGATTCCACCACCTCCCTAGGTAACCCATTCCAGTGCTTCACCACCCTCCTAGTGAAACAGTGTTTCCTAATATCCAGCCTAGACCTCCCCCACTGCAACTTGAGACCATTGCTTCTTGTTCTGTCATCTGCCACCACTGAGAACAGCCGAGCTGTGACGTTG